CTTTCTGTGAATACATGCATTATATAATGCATTTACAATCAACTTTTCTATGACGATATTTTCGGCGTGAAAAAAGCCATTTAACCAGCATATTATACGACCCTGTGAAAAATCTCGAATATTTCATGATTCGACTTTTAATTTTGACCTTGACTATATCTCATCAGCACCCACAGCGGCAATCGACCAACTCTATGCGAGGTTGAATGGGAACTTGATGGTGGAAAAATCTAAGCACTCGTAATTTATCACCTTAAACGAAATATGGTGATTACAGCTCTCTTGTCTATATGGGAGATAGTAACCCTATTCCATTTAAGGTGATAAGAGGACAGATACTTGCATTTTCTCGCAATGATATAAGCAGACACCCCCGGGAACTCGAGCAAGTCTATGCGAAATTAAACAGGACATGGGGTCTACTTATAGGATTTTGGGAAAATTCAACTCCCAGTACTTAATCACCTCAAATGAAATGTGTTAGCCATAGCTGTTCTGTCTCTTTGCTTGTTCGAAACTCAGTTTTTCTGCATACCTATTTGTCTTTTTGCTTTTTCTGCTTCTATATCTCCCTTTTTGTGCGTGTGCATTTGATTGTATGGGCGTATATTTCTTGTATCTAAGCCTTATCTGCTCTTGTGTGTATTTCTGATTCTCTCTCTCTCTCTGCATGCCTCTGTGTGTGCGTGTGTGTGTGTGTTTGTAGATGTACGTGTATATGCTTTGTATGAAAGACTGTCTTTTTCTCTTTCCCCCGGCCTGCACAGCCGTCACAGGACGGACTGGGCGACTTGATTGGTTCTTTTGGGGCCTGCCTCACACTTAGCATGCACTTCCGCCGACCTCGGGGCGTGGCGGGACCCGGACTCATCCACCTCTCGGGTCAAGCTCTGCTCTTCAACACGCCGCATTTGGTCGCTGTGGAAACTGTAGCCTCTACCGCCGCGGGTGCAGCTGGCGATAGAGGAAACAGCTTGGCGACCATCTACGTTTCGGTCAACTACCGACTGGGAGTGCTCGGCTTCGCCAGCTTCGGATCGCATCACTCCTGGCCCAACCAGGCAGTACACGACGTCCGACTAGCTCTGACATGGTTACACAAGCATGCCGACAAACTCGGACTCGCCAGACGGAAAGTTCTGCTGATGGCTGAGGACGCCGGAGCTACGATTGCCGGTCTTCTGTACACGACAACACGACCTGGCGATGCGATCGGGTGAGTGTTAGAACCGGCTTTGCAGGCTACTTCCATTTCGTCGGTCGCTTTTTCCCACTCACCCACCCCTACTCCCATATACATTCAAACACGCAGGCACTCTGCCACACACATAAATATTCAAAAGCATACATTCACACATTTACACACTCAAGCGCAAACATACAATTACACAGACTCATTCACACATACACACACACACACACACACACACAAACACAAATTCGCATACGCAAACCCACTCATGCACGCATTAGGACATTCACACAGGCTAGAACACGTGCAGGATCGCCTCACCATCTTTACTTTTGTCCTCAATCTCCTAACTTTGTTTACCTTGGGTCTGGGATGATCCAGAGTGCTTTTCAGATGATACTGAGTTCGAGGCCAGAGGTCGGGTTAGCAACAGTCGACGGAAGAGGCGGCTTTTCTCCTCCCTTAGCCTACACCCGAAGGCCTAGTCTAGGGGTCTCGAACTTGGCCCTGGCGGGTTCGGAAGTTCTCTGTTTCCGGGCGTATTCTGCAGTCATTGTAGCCTCAGACCTCAGCGTCAATCGGGTTCCTGGTGCTGGGATTTGTTATGTTGACCAAGTAAAGGATAAGGATTCAACACGGACTCTGAAAGCATAACTCGTTGTGCAAGGCTTGAGTGGTACAGGAGAAAGTGGCGCGGACTCTAGTCACCAGCTCGAGTCGTCATCAACTGGTGTTGTCATAGTCTTCTCGGAATAGTTAGCAGCAAACCAAAAGGTGTGGACGTCTCTCTTATTCATACGCGACCGGAAATATTGACGGTCGTCCCGGTAGAAGGTAGATGAGAGCCTTTTAAAGATGAAAAGTGTGACTAGGTTGCGATGACGTGTAGGAGGTCGTGTTGTCGCGATAAAGCTAATTTGTTGTAAGCCTGTTTGATTTTTAGGTCTGCCAGTGTTCCAGATAGAGTGGCTTCATACTCATCGGTTTGCTGCTCAATACGCGAAAGGAGAGATCATGAAAAGTAATAGATTGAGAAATACGTTGAGGGTAGGGAATGGAGATGGGAA